TGGGGTTATGCTTTCCATGATGTTGTTAGCCATTTTTGTTTGCCTGTGGTGCCTATGCAGGATCAGGAAGTCACAAAAATCCCAAGCTGCCATGTTGGTACAGGCCTTTGCTGCTGTGGAAGCAGGACAATCCCCTCAAGCATGGTTATCCATGCTGACAGACAAATAGGTGTCTGTCTTGCCCTTGCTGAGTGAGTGATGCGTATCTGAATCAGTCATGCTCAATGACGGGCACCTACCCTCTTGCTGAGCGAATAAGCATACATGTGTTCCTTTCAACCTAAGACATGAGCCTGTGAGGATGACACAGTGACTCTTTGACGGGTAAGATAGGGACACTGGGGTTGAACCTAAGACAGAGATGACTGAAATCTGACAACAAATAGATACTGCTACTCCTATATTAAAACAAAAAGGGGGAACTGTTGGGAGCTGCAAAGTACCGCGCCCAAAAGATGGCGCAGGTTTCTGCCTTCCGCCAGCCCGACGGCAAGTGCTCTCTGTGGTAAACAACTCCTAATTTGGTAAAGGCCATGTATCCTCTAAATTCTGCTTGGAGACAACCTATCCTGGCGCGCCACGTAGGGTTAGGTGATTGGTAGATGTAGACTATATCAGGCCCCGTCTTCCTTTACCTGGGGCCGCCACTCCATGTAAAGCAAGGTTCCCGAATAAACTGAGAAGAAGGTTCCTCAGTGTTGCGTCGTTCTTGCTGGTCAAGGGTGGACGCGACAACAGGGCAGAACTTTGGGCAGGACACATGGTCTAGGAAAAATGGCCAGATATGTGATTATTCACTGACTCAAGAGCTACAGCCAATGGATGGATGGTCAGGGACTTGCAAAGAGCATGATTGGAAAGAAGTATGTGGATACATCTCTCCAGATGGGCAAAGGATGTGAAGATTCTTGGTTCCCTTGTAAATGCTCATCAAAAGGTGACTTCAGCTGAGGAGGAGTTCAATAACCAAGCCCCATTCTGTGGACAGTCAGCCTCATTCATGAACAAAGTGGCCATGGGGGGCTATTCATGGGCCTGACCACATGGACTTTCACTCACCAAGACTGACCTGGCTGCAGCTGCTTCTGCATGCCAGATCTACCGATAGCAGGGGCCAACACTGAGCTCCAGATATTGCATCACTTCCTAGGGTGGCCAGTCAGCCACCTGGTAGCAAGTTGACTACACTGGACCACTTCCTACTTCTGTAAAAAAGGACAACACTTTGTCCATAGTGACGTAGATACTTGTTCTGGTTATGGATTTGCCTTTCCTTCAGTCAAGTTTCTGCCAAAATGAACATCTGTGGACTTACAGAATTCTTTATTCACCATCATGGTATTCCACATAGTATTGCTTCTGACCAAGGACCTCACTTCACAGCCAGAGAAGTGCAACAGTGGGCCCATGATCCTGGAATCCACTGGTCTTGCCATGTTCCCTATTATCCTGAAGAAGCTGGCCTGATAGATAAAATGGCCTCTTGAAGACAGTTACAGCACCAATTAGATGGCAGCAGCATTGGTGACTGGGGCAGGGTTTTCCAGAGGGCGGCTTTGAATCCATGTCCAATATATGGTGTGGTTTTTCCCACAGGTAGGATCCATGGGTCCAGGGATGAAGGGGTGAAAAAAAGAGACTAGTTCCACTATCTATCACCCCTAGAGACCCACTAAAATTTTTTTGACTTCTTATTCCTGTGATATTAAGTTCCCCTGGCCTACATGTTTTGGTTCCAGAGCAGCGGGTGCTCCTGCCAGCAGATACAACAAATATTCTATTGAACTAGAAACTCAGACTTTCCCCTGGGAACTCTGGACTTCTGATACCCTTGAGCCAACAGACTAAGGATGGGATAACAGTGTTAGAAGGGGTGATTGATCCAGATTAACAAAGGAAATCAGATAGCTTCTCTACACTAGAGGTGATAAGGATTATGTTTGGAGTGCAGATCCTTTAGGGTGTGTCTTGTTGCTACCACGTCCTGTGATTAAAGTTAATGGGAAACTACAATAACCTAATCCAAGCAGCCAAGCAGGATGACAAAGGGCATGACCGTCAGGAATGAAGGTATGGGCCACTCCTCCAGGAAAAGAACCAGCTAAAGTGATTGCTGAGGGTGCAGAAAATGCTGAAAGGGTTGTAGAAGAAGGTAGTTACCGTCTAAGGCCACATGACCAGTTGCAGACATGAGGATTATAATTGGCATGAATGTTTCTGTTGTATTTTGTTAAGGTGTTTTTATGGGTATTTGTGTTTCCTTTGATTTCTTTATCCTGAGATATAACATCAGTTAAGAGAATGTCAGTGGTTAAGTTTTGAGATTGGGAGGGCAAGGGAATGGGGGTGGTAGATATGTAAATATGAGTGCCTCTAAAATAAAATAAAAAAAAGGTTTGAGATACCAAGTGACATTACCACCTTTTCTAAATTTTATAATATGTTTGTGGTTGTAGTTATATCATGTTAGGCATAAATATAACCTGGTTAAATATATAATGCATTTGCAATTACATGTGGGTTAGTTAGATCATGTTAGGTACAATTATAACCTAGTTATTATTTTCATTTGGAAATTAAGCATGACATCAGGAGATAGGTTTGTGTGTCAAGTTGACAAGGGGTGGACTTTTGATTTCTCTTTTTGGTTTTTAACTTGTCTTCATCTGGAATTAACTAAAACCCAAATGGCTGGGCTCACCTGTGAGGGATTATTTTCTGAATTAGGTCATTTGGATTAAGAAGAACCACTTTTAATCTGGATCCTTTTGAAGTGGGAAGATCCACCTTTAATCTAGGCCATACCTTCTACTAGCAGCCCATATAAAGGACATGGGAGAAGGAAGCTTGCTCTCTTTGCCTCCTTGCTTTCACTGGCAAGTCCATTCCTTTGCTGGCACTGGAACCTACTTCTTTGGGATCCTGACATCTACTGAACACCAGCTGAGACATTGAGCCTTGTGGAATGAACAGCCACTGGGTTCTTGGACCTTCTCTTGGGAGAAGGATATCCAGTCTGTAGGATATCCAGATAGATAGATATATAGATAGTATCTTAGTTAAGGTTCTATTGCTGTGCAGAGACACCATGGCCACAGCAACTCTTTTTTTTTCATTTTTTTTATTTGAATTAGAAACAAGATTGTTTTACATGTCAATCCCAGTTCCCTCTCCCTCCCCTCCTCCCCTACCAACCCCCCCAACTAAAAACCCTACCTATCACATATCCCTTCTGCTCCCCAGGGAGGGTGAGGCCTTCCATAGGGGGGTCTTCAGATTCTGTCACATACTTTGGTATAGGGCCTCGGCCCACCCCACAGCAACTCTTATAAAGAAAACATTTAATTGGGGTTTACAGTTCCAGATGTTCAGTCCATTAGAAGGGGAGCATGGCAGCGTGCAGGCAGATGTGGTGCTGGAGCTAAGAGCGCTACATCTTACAGGTAACAGGAAGTCAACTGATAGTCACACTGAGGGAAGCTTGAGCAAGAGAGACCTCAAAGCCCGCCCCACAGATGGATGCATGGATGGATGGATGGATGGATGGACAGACGGATGGATCCACCCTATAATTTCTGTTCCTAAAGAACCCTGACTAATACAGTGGGTATAGAGCTTCAGTTTTCAAGCTGGAAACATTGCAGAGATTGGTTTCACAAAAAAATATATTCAATACTACTAAACTGTACACAGAAACTGCTAAAATGGAAATCTTTTGTATGTTTTATGACAATTTAAAATGATGTTTAAGATGTTTTAAGACCAATTGGCCCAGACACAGAGGCACAGAGGTACAGGTGGCATGTAGCCACCACTCTGTCTTGAGCCTCTCACCTCCCTACCTGATAGAATTCTCTCCAGTCTGGCTTTGGAAAGTGGGAGAAAGGCATGATATTTTGGTTTGTACCACTATTAAAGAAAAAAATCACATGCTAAAATATCCCCATAGAATACACAAATAAAGAGAAAGGAAGTATTTGGGGTTTTCTACAATTAGCTTTATTTTTGTAGAGGTGTTTACTTTAAATTGTGCCTAGTTTTAAAACTTCAACAAAGCAGTGGGAACCTATGATTAGGATACTCATTTTCTGAATTTATAGGAATCTGAAATGTATCCATATGAATAAGAAAGTTTGCCATATAGCAAGGGAAATAAAAGAATAACAGCAACAGCTACTGAATTCTCCACTTCTTTTGACATAAATGAATAACCGAATAACTAACTATGGAAAGGGCTTATGAGTAGTCGGTCACTGCTGTGTGTCTGGGCCTGGTGACACAAGGAGCCAGGCTTCTCATCTTCCCTCTTCTCAGCATGAGCCTGCCTTGGCCGCTGGCTATCGTACAATCAGGTCCAAAATGAAAATGAAAAGGTTGATGATGTCCACGTAGATATTCAGAGCAGCAAAAATGTACTCTTCAGGGTCTACCTCATAATGGTAGCGGCCCCCCACCATCATCTGCACGTCCATCACCAGGTACTTGAAGACAAGGAAGAAGTGTCTGTTTAGACTGCGTGTCTACCAAGTAAGTGTCCTACATCATGTGGGGAATGTTATTTTATCAAGGAAAACTAGAGGCTGGGGGTATAGCTGAGTTGGTAGAGTACTCGTTTGGGATACATAAAGCCCTGGATTCCAACCCCCATACCACACAGACTTGACTTGGTAGTGCTTGACTGCAATTCTAGCACTCTGGAGGTAGTGATGGGAATGTCAGAAGTCTAATGTCATCATCATCAACTACACAAGTTTGAGGCTAGCCTGGGCTACATGAAACTCTATATCAAAAGATAAGGAAGGGAGTAAAGAAGGGAGGGAGAAAGGCAGAAGTCAAAAGATGTTGGAGGTCAGTTGAGACTGAATATATTATTAGAGCGTCAGCCATTGATGAAGTCATCCTGGTTTGCACTCTGAGAACAAGTATCCCATCCTCCTGAAGCCCACAGTACCAAATCTGTGTGTTCCCTTTGCACCCTTTGTCAGTGATATGGTCAGATGGGCAAGGTGGACATGTCACTATACGAGGTACCCTGTCTCCGTGACCTCTCCACACCTTGCTAGACCGAACCAAAGATGCTTCCTAGACTCAAAGTAAGGACTGTGTTTTTTGTTAACCCTACCCCAAGGACTGTGTTTTTTTTTAACCCATCCCAAGGACTGTGTTTTAAAGGCCTTGAGTGATAGCCATTTGGGGTGGCGTCTGCATGCCTGAAACAGAAAGTGGAGAGGGGGGGTACCCCTATGTGACTGCATAGTTCCTTCTGACAGCACATGTCAGCTCAGCTGCAGTAAGTAAAACTATGGAGTCCTGAGTATTGGCAAGAAAAAAGTCACAGCCTCTCTCACTCTCAAGCCTGGTGCAAGGTGAAGATCTGGGCTGCAGGAGAAGCACGACAGGAAGAAAAGAACTGGATAAACCTCCTGGATGCAGACTAAATGCAGAGCTCAGCCCCATGAACACACCAATACTGACATGACATATAAATATTGGAATGTTTGAAACTTTGTTTTTAAATAACCCATTTTAGAATGGTATTCACTTTGTGAAACCTGTCCCAAGAAATTGAGATATTCACTGTCCTTGCTTGTCGATTCCCAGGAAGGCTTTCCAACAGGAAGCTCAGAACAGAGGGAAGAACAGGATGGAAGTTACGCACGCACGTCACACAGATGCACAGTAGGCGGCAGCTCAAGGGAGGGAGGTGGGATAGGCGGGGCTGCACCTAACCGGCAGGGAGGGAGTCCCTCATGAGCTGGCTTGTGGGGGAAGGGAGTCCCTTCCCCACGTCCCATTCCAGTACCCATGGAAGGAAAAAAGAACTCTGCTCCCAGCAGACTAGAACATTTGCTCACACAAAAAGCCTCAGTAGCTGAGCAACCTTCTGTCACTCTGGAGCCCTGACTAAGGGAACAAGAACTTCTCTTTTCCTCCAACAGATCCCTAAATTAATCTTAGCACTCCTCATAAGAGAGAAAATTACTCAACCATTTCACCCTGATATGGACCCACACACCTATGAACACCTGATTTTTGACAAAGAAGCTGAAAATATATAATGGAAAAAAGAAAACAACCTCAACAAATGGTGCTGGACTAACTGGATGTCAGTGTGTAGAAGACTGCAGATAGATCCATATCAGCCTCCACAAAGCTCAAGTCCAAGTGGATCAAAGATCTCAACATAAAGCAAGATTTACTGAATCAGATAGAAGAGAAAGTGGGAAATAATCTCACATTGGCACAGGAGACAATTTTCCTGAACAGAACACCAAGTACAAAGGTTCTATGATCAACAATTAATAAATGGGACCTCACGAAACTGAAACGCTTCTGTAAGGCAAAACGACACCATCAAAAGGACAAAATGACAGCCTACAGAATGGGAAAATGTTTTTATCAACCCCACATCAGATAGATGTCTAATATCCAAAATATATATAGAGTTCAAGAAATTAGAAATCACAAAAACAAATAGTCCACTTTAAAAATGGAGTACAAATATAAACAGAAAAGTCTCAACAGAGGAAACTCAAATGAAATGTCCAACATCCTCAGCCATCAGTGAAATGCAAATCAAAACTACTCTGAGATTTCATCTCAGACCTGTCAGAATGGGTAAGATCAAAAACACAAGTGACAGCTCATGCTGGAGAGGATGTGGAGTAAAGGGACACTCCTCCACTGCTGGTGGGAGTGAAAACTAGTATAGCCACTTAGGAAATCAATAGGGCAGTTTCTCAGAATATTGGGAATCAATCTACCTCAAGTCCCACTCCTGGTCAAATAAACAATGGACACTCCACCATACCACAAGGATACTTGCTTAGCTATGTTCATAGCAGCCTTATTTGTAATGGACAGCAACTGGAAACAACCCAGATGTCCTACACTGAATATGGTACATTTATACAATGGAGTGTTACTCAGCTGTTAAAAGTTTCAGGCATCATGAAATTTCCTGGCAAATGGATGGAACTAGAAAAGATCATCCTGAGTGAGGTAACCCAGACACAGAAAGACAAACATGGTATGTGCTCACTCTTAAGTGATGTACAGCAGAACCAGAGAAGCCAAGCAAGGAGGGCTCAAGGGATATGAATCTCACTGCAAAGGGAAAATAGAATAGACATTTCTGGAGCTAGAGAGATGGCTCAGAGGTTAAGAACACTGGTTGTTCTTCCAGAGGGCCCAGATTCAATTCCAAGCACCCACAGGGTGGCTCACAACCATCTCTAACTCCAGCTCTAGGAGATCTGATGGGCTCTTCTCACCCACACATGCACATAATGTACAATCAGACAAAACACACACACACATAAAAATAAAATTAAAACAACAATACAATAGACATACACATAAAAATAAAATTAAAACAACAATACAATAGACATACACATAAAAATAAAATTAAAACAACAATACAATAGACATACACATAAAAATAAAATTAAAACAACAATACAATAGACATACACATAAAATTAAAACAACAATACAATAGACAACCCTGGTGGATGGGGGAAGGGACAGGGGTCTGGATGGGGTGGGGCAGGGCTGGGAACAGAAGGGATCAGTAGGGAGAGGATGGAGAGACAGAATACTGACAGAGACAACAGAAATTGGCTGGGGGTGGGTGGTGAGCTAGAAACTGAGAGCAATGGAAACTCCCAGGAATCTATGAGGGTGACCCAAGCTAGGACTCCTAGAAGCGGGGGATATAGAGCATGAACTGGTTGTCTTCTGTAACCAGGCAAGACTTCCAGTGGAGGAATTGGGACACCAACTCAGCCACAAAACCAGCAACCTACAATTTGTTCTGCCTACAAGATGTGCTGGGGTCACACAAATTGTGGGAGTGATCAACTAATGATTGGTCCAGCTTGAGACCCAGACCATGAGTGGGAACCCACCCCTGACACTGCTAAAGGGCCAGGATCCAGAGGCTGAATGGCCCAGAGACCTCGGATAAAACCAACACAACTGGCAAAAAAAAAAAAGTTAATGAAATGATTCGTAGTGATATTCTGCTATATTCATAGATATGTGCTTAGCACAACTGTTATCAGAGAGACTTCACCCAGCAACTGGTGGAAATAGATGCAGACCCAGAGCCAAACATTAGGCAGAGCTCAGGGAATCCTGCAGAAGAAGGGGAAGAAGGATTGTGGGAGCCTGGTCTACAAAGTGAGTTTCAGGATGGGCTCCAAACCTACAGAGAAATCCTGTCTCCAAAAACCAAACCAAACCAAAACAAAACAAAACGCTTGATGATACTACATGGAATTCATTAGTCTTTCAATTTCTCAGTATGTTCAGAAAGTTTTATAATAATTTTTTTCTTGTCCACCAGGTAAGATACTTGCAGCACACTCAGGCAGAGTCTAAGTTTGAGGTGTCTAAGTCTGAGGTCAATCTGGTCTGTATATCAAGTTTCAGACTAGCCAGTGCTACATAGTAAGACAAGTCTTTGAATTTTTTTTCCTCAAAGGCTGAGAAGCCTCAGCTGGTAAGAGGACCTGACAAAACATGAGAATATAGAATCAAATCCTCAGTACCCCTGTTAAAAAAACAATCATGGCCACACATGTGCCTATAACCCCAGAGTTGTTGAGGGCAGAAAGAGGAGAGTCACTGGGAGTTGCTGGCCTCAGGCCCATGTCCAAGTTTAGTGAGAGACCCTGTCTCAAAGGAATGGGGAGAGGTAATAGTGCAGGACAACCCATGTCCTTCTCAGGCTCCTCATATGCATACCATCACACACACACACACACACACACACACACCACACACACACTTTTTTTTCTTTAAGAACTCCAAGGAACTTTGAAACCCCCACAGGTCTATGTCGGGGGGCGGGGGGAGCCTCGCCTGACATGTGAGAGGCCTTGAGTTTCATGCACAGTGTCACGCTATAAGAAGTGTTGATAAGAGCATAAGATGGAAAAACATAGGCATAATTAAGAATGCATTTGACACTTCTCCACTAATTCCCAGAGACCACTGTTGTCAAGCAAAAGGCTAAGGCAAAATAGTTGACACAGGGTGACTACCTCAGTGTAGGGGGTCACGCTGCGATGTGTAGACACAACAGCAGGCCTCTTAGAATCTTCTGTCAGGGTTTACCTCTGAGCAATGGGGAGAAGAGGGAGTTTAGCCTTTGGTTTTGCAGTCCACTGTGTTGTTTGAATTTTAAAATATCCACATGCATTTCTCTTAAAATCACTGTAAAACTGGGACAGCAAAAGAAGGGGCTAAACAGAAAGAAAGGGATTCCCAGAGGCATCCACAGCAGCCTCTGCTAGCTATCTCCAGAGCTCCTGGTATAGAGAAATGAGAGACTGGTCTGAGCAAATGAAGCCACTGACTCTTGTGACAATAAGCGTTGAGGCTTCTCCACAATCCTTTCTCTTGTCAAATATTAACTTTTTGGAGAAAGAGGATATTTTCCTGTTTTTGTCATTACACTGCTGTGGAGTAATCCTTCTGTATACGGTGCAAATTATACTGTGATTGCCTTAATAAAGAAACTGACTGCTCAGTAGCTGGACAGACACTGGGAGGAAGAAGGGTGAAGTCAGAGGAGTCACCAGCAAGACATGGAGAGGAAAGTGGAGGTACAAAATGAAAGAGAGGTAACACCATATGGCAGAATGTAGACTAATAGGAAGGGTTCATTTAGTTGTAGGAGCTAGTTAGTGACAAGCCTGAGCTATTGGTGGAGCATTTATAAATATTAAGTTTCTGAATGGTTATTTGGGAATGTAAACTCTGCCTACATTGCACTTTGTGTTTGTGTTTTCGTGGGGACCACACGCAAGGTCCTATGCTAGGAAAGCAGTCTACCCTTGAGGTACAGCCCCAGTCGAGGAATGGGATGCTTTCATAGATTAGAAAGCTCTCCCAGTGGCCTCACTCTATCTGAGGTGGGGACGGGGGTTGAAGGAGGGAGGACAGGAGGGAGAGGGAACTGAGATTGGTATGGAAAATTAGATTATTTTAATTAAAAAGTTAATAATAAAAAAGATAATAAAAAAGAAAAGGCCTCCCAGCTCTGCTGAGTGAGTTATTGGAGTGTTTCTAGTAAATGGCTAACCCCACTGGGCCAGCACAGGCCTGTGAGTATGTACACCATAGTCTTCGGCACAGAGGGAAAACAAGACTTACCATGGAGAAGATCAGGGTTCCAAGCAAGGCATACACCAGATGTACCCACTGCACAGAAAGAAAGAGGCACAACTCAACAACATCCCAAGTGCCAGCAGTGCTTCTGTGAGTCACTGCCCTCCAATAAGGACCCATTATGAGGACAGTCAAGCCCAGGGGAGTTAGCCGCTTCTTGACCTAATTGCCAGCATCCACCATTTTATTCCAGCAAGCACTTCGTGATCACCAGGTGAGTGCTTCAAATTCCGTGGGGGTGGGGCAAGGGTAATGCATTACACGGGGTCTGCTTTCCCTCCCATCTACATAACCCTTCTAGAGAATCTGCCTTCCCTAGGCCTATGGCCTGAGTGGATCTGGAAACACAATGGTCACACACTCCCTAGGTGGAGAGTGCAAGGAAAGATAGCAGAAACCACTACAAGCAGTGGATCTTGTCTACTTTACAGATGAGCTCTGCTGGGACCTGCCATCAGTCATAGATATGCCAACCTGTCAACAGGCAATTCTTGGCCTTTTCCGGCCAAGTAGAGGTAGTTAGTCTCCCCAGACCCATACATGAAGGTGGGATTGCTGGCTCTAGAGTCTTAGATCTTTTTCAGACCCATGAAATTCCCAGGACTTTTGCCCAAGCCAAACTGACTGGTATTTTCCCTGATCAGAAAATATGGGACCTATCTGAACAGCCAGGGTTTGGCTTACACGGGAAGAGGATAAAGTAATACACAACACCTGAGAAAAATACAGCATGAAGTCTTAAGGAGAAAGCTGGTCTCAAGGAGGTTTGGCAGAGCTCCCCATAAGAAGTTCTTGGTAACGAGGGGAGACAGTGAATCATAGCACGATCTGGGGAGCACAGTAGCTTTAGAGCGCCGGCAGGATTCAGAGTTGCCTATGCCAAATGTATGGGCTTAGGACAAGAACCTTCTGCTGACATATGTGTAAGCCTGTAGCCTGGAGATACTTTTGAAAGTGTGAGTGAGCTCCGTCTATCTTATAGGAGACACAGTCTCCACACCTTAGGAAACCGTAAAGACCTATGGGACCCACTGAGTGACTGTGCAGAGGTGGAGTCTTTTAATACACACCTCTGTGGCCGGTTGGGGTAGACAACACTCATAGTCCTAACACTTGGGAGGCAGAAAAAGTGTAATCTCCACGAGTTCAAGGCCAACCTGGTCTATACGAGTTACATGCCAGCCAGGCCTACAGAGTGTGACTATCTCAAAAAACAAACAAGCAAATGAAGCAGCAAAAACAAAAAAGACAAGTTAACATGTTTGTGATGTCATAGTTTGTCTGCAAAATATAGATACCACCTCCCCGGCTATAACGAACATTCGTATTCATTGAACCAAATAAGCCCAGACAGAACTTCAAGGCACATGTCTAAAGATATGTACAAAGTCTACTTGCTTCCAAATAAATGCTTTGGTTCAGCATTTGAACAAAGTTGCCCTGGGAACTTTGGTCAAACAGTTCCAGGTCCCAAGCAGGGTCTCCATATAAGGCACTCCTGGACACCGTAGAACAAGCTATCATAGATAGCTTTCTCCATTTCTGCTCCAGAGGCCGACCCTGCACAAACCTGACCTCCATGCTACCTCTGCTTCTCCCTCCCTGGGGACCCTGAATGGATTAAAGCCCTCTGAGCCTGTTTGTTTATCTATAAAATCAACAAGGAATATTGTTCCAGAATGTTGTAGAGTTGAACATGACAGCTCGGTGAAAAATATTCACAAGCTCTGTGTGTGACATTTAGTAAGAAGTCAATGAATATATTCTAATGAGAGAGCTGGATGGACACTAAGCCACCTTCTGTGGGTACCACTGGAGCCTCTAGCTAGAAGAGCCTATCTCCCACGTCTGCTTCAACAGTAGCACCTGTGTGCAGGAGAATGCCCCGTATACCCCAGAGGACCTGGTCCCCCCAAGACCCTGTTGGGGAAGGACAAGTACTATCTCAGGTAGGAGATCAATATCCATACAGTAGATTCCTGTCTATGGCCCTTCTCCACTGATTACTGTGTATAAAACCAAGATGGACCCAAATTCACATTCAGATAACAGGGCAGGAGTGTAATATACCTTGTTCAGCTGCTAGTCCGTGCAATCACTGCAGCTTGTCTTTCATCTCAAGGACATTTTCCTCAAAGCTGTAGATGTCGTTCAGAGGTGGTATGCTTGCCTAACTTGCTCAAGGCCTTGACCTCAATCCCTATCACCAAGGGTATTCATAAAAGTATAATAAATCCTTACATACTTAGCCCCAATACCATGTCTGCTTCTGAGAGGACTTGTGCTGACACAGCCAGCACTTCCCTCATCTTGAGTACTTCTTGAAGGTTTCAAAATGCCAGTCACTTACGTAGGATCGTATGACAATTGCGATAATCCCGTAGATCATTAATACAACGAGGAGAACAAACAACACTCCGTTTAGCATGGTAAAATCCCACTGGGGAAACATAAGCAGCACAGGTGACTCCATTATCATCCAGACAGGATGTGTAAAGATGTATTTTCTACCCCATGCACAAGTTGTCTTAGCCATCTGTTGGGGTGGGAATGCCTTAGCCCCAAGCACTGAAAATCATCACATAAATAATAAAACTGTCACAGTCCCTGGGATTTGTTTCAGGCAGGGAGGAGGAAATAGTGGGAGTTAAAATAAAATAATGAGAGCCAGGAGTTGATAATTTTTAAACTGGGTGAAGGGTACATGAGAATTCATTGTATTTATTCTACTTTTCTATTTATAAGAATTTCTTCCTTAAAACCAGATGTGGTGGCACACACTTGTAATCCCAGCACTCGGGAGGTTGAGGCAGGAGGATCAGAAATTTAAAGTCATTCTCATGACAAGGTCAAAGCCAATCTAGGATACTAGAATCTCTGCTGAACTCTAATAAAAAGATAAATTGAGTATGATATAAATTTGTATGTACAATGTGATCATAACTATTCATATTTAAAGAACACATATACATTGAAAACATTAGGAGGAAAATGAAATGGGTTATTTCATTACATTAACTGGGTCTCTTTTTCAAATTTGTATACATATATTTTCATAAAACACATAAGTACAATGCTGAGCATTGGTGGCACATGCCTTTAATCCCAGCACTTGGGAGGCAGAGGCAGGTGGATCTCTGTGAGTTCGAGACCAGCCTGGTCTACAAGAG